CGTATAGTGCGCACTCAATGTGTGGCAAATTTTTCCGGTAAATGTTTACCTATAATGTAGACATATAAAGTGCTATTCAAAAATGACCATGTCAGCCAACTTACTGACCTTAATATGACCAACTTATTAGCCGGATTTGCACTTTTTGACCATGCATATTTATTAATGACATAATTAAGTTTATACACATACAAATTAAACTAGCATGGCCAACTTTCCGTATCGAGAAATTCCTTCTTAGTTAGGAAAATTCATAGGAATTTTTTTGAATTGTAACGGGAAAACTAATGACAACTATTATAATATGAACGGTTTATGTTTAAATAAGAATTGATGGTCCAGACAAGAGATAATTATAATTAATTAAATTGATCATGTTACTGACTATTATTATTTAATTAGTGATATATTATGTTTTTACCTGTGCTTTTCACTTAATGATAAGTATGTCAGTTTATTATAATTTTAACACTAGTTTTCATTCTAATAACTTTTTAAAAGTCAATGAAGTAAATACAGAAATGACTACTTTTTATATGCAGTAAAATATAGTCAAATACAATAAAAGGTAAATTAAAACAATAGGTTAAAAGCAGGCATAAGATCTTCTAAACTTAAATAATAAATTAAATTTTAAATAATAAAATCAAAATTCAAAACTAACGGAAAATTAACTTAAATCTGATTATATCTAAAATTTAGTTATTTTCCACTCGCAAGCTAGTCACATTAAATTCTATATAATTAAATATTTGTTATTAAATTATATTTTTAATAAAAATACTATGTTGCAGGTCATAGCCGAAATATTACATATACTGTAATGTATATGTAACAAATACATATGAATTTGTAAATAACATGTCATTTTCTTGACTCAAATTACATGTAGATCCTGTAAATATAAAATTAATCAATTGTAAAATAGTTAACTTTAAACATAATTCTACCCTAAAATATATAGTAATATGGTTGAAATTGTTATATAATTTATTAGTTTTAAAAGCAGTTTTAATATAGATTTGTTGTAAATTAATATTAGATAATAGTGTGTTACGCTTAAAACAACCATATTAAACTTATTATTGGTAAACATTTGTATGGCAACAGGCATACCAATAAATGATTGGCTAAAATATATATAGTTTGCTTTGTATAGTTGCAAATTGTTTTATTTTGTTTAATAAATGAATCGACAAAAACGGATCATTTAAATCCTGTTTACAATAATAATCGAAAATACTTATAAAAAAGCAAATTTTAAATAAAAAGGACGTTTATGCATTTGACGTTTTTTAAAAATTGATTTGTAATAGGATATTTAATACTAGTTTCTACTAGCCCCAACGCCATAGAAAACTTTAAATTACTTAAGAGCAGGTTAATTAAATACACCATTTATAAATTACCTGCTAAAATGAGCGCGTTCATCGGCACATTCAAAGAGATCTCATCTAGCAACATGGTGGCACTCTATAGAGAGTACGGTTAGTATTGTACACAACACACAGACACACATAATCTGTTATTTGCATCGATTGTCAACCAATTGAGTGTAATATGGGTCAAATAACTCGTAGGCATGTCGGATGACGAGGCCAGTTGAATGACGTCCCTAACCTGGGCACTCGAGTTCAGCAAAGAGGGTGCTGTCTATGCGATTAAAATGATCGAGAAAGACAGGTATCTTGTCAATAAGTTTCAGTTGGGAATGGAGTGTATTTTTCGCCATTTCAACAACAATACTACCAAGGTACTAGCCACTACAATGCTACTTTTAATTACGCACGTGTTTGACAAAAGGGTATTTAGTTTTAAAAATCGTAGAATTGAGCTAGAACAAACTAATAGGTCAACCTTTGTTATCTATCCTAGTTTTATACTAAATACTCATTTTATAATTACTAATTTTGTCATTTGAATATGAAAAATCCAGTTGATTCAATAGATAGACATAAGTTTAATATTTATTATTATTTTTTAGTCTTTTAATGAATAATATTATTATAAATTATACATAAAATTATTAGTATTAAGAAACAGTGAAAAATTTATACGGCTTACAAGGAGGCGTATCATATTTTTAAACTTTATAGGGGGTGTGGGACTGATAAATAATAAATATTTTGTTCCTGCTTTTTCCGATAATTTCTGACCACATCTTTAAGCAATGTGTTTCAGATAGCATGCACAATTTAGCAAAAATCATTAATCCACTGAATAGACAAACTATTATTAGATAATATATGAAATAAATAAATAATAAACGCAATGAAGGTGTTTTTAAATTTTCAATTGTTAATATAGAGAATTAATGATTTTTTATGAAAACGTGCAGACTATCCTGAACAAACTGCCTACCGATGTGGTCAAAAATTATTCGGAAAAAGCAGGAACAAAATATATCTGAGCCAATATAGCCAAAAGTGTATCGCAAAAAATGCTTTAATTTGAAAGTAAAGTCGTGCAGGTCTCGCAGCTTTCGATTACTCATATATAATGTTCATATTTTAAACAAATTAATTTATAACCCTTGTGTGCAAATTAATGTATTTATCAGTGAAAATATTAATGAAAATGTGGACATTATATATGAGTAATCGAAAGCTGC